CACCCCGCCCCCCCCGCAGAGCCGAGCAAGACGATGGTGACGGAGCTGTGGCTGGCTGAGGACGAGTTCCAGTCGGTGGCCGTGGCCCCGGGCTCCCACATCACCTTCTGCCTCAAGGAATTCCGTGTGAGTCCCCAGCCGAGCCCCCCAGCCCCGTCTCACCCCCTGGCCCCCCTCACCCTCCCCTTTGTCCCCAGGGCCTGCTGAGCTTTGCCGAGGCCTCCAACCTGCCCCTCACCATCCACTTTGACGAGCCCGGCAGGTAGGAGCGGTCACCACGTCCCCACCCTGTGCCAGCCCCATGCCTGGCACCCCCTGAGCCCCTCTGTGTCCCCAGGCCGGTGATCTTCACCCTGGATGACACTGTCCTGGAGGTTCACCTGGTGCTGGCCACCCTCTCTGACCCAGACAGCAGCTCCCAGTGCCCTTCCACCAACGGGTGAGTCCCAGATGAGCCCTCCAGCGGCCACGGGCAGGGAGCTGAGTGACCATTCCCAATCCTCTCTGTCCCCACCAGCGTGTCCCACCTGCCTGCCCCGCCAGACGACTTCGGTGACGACCTGGAGTCCTACATGGCAGCCATGGAAACCAGCGAGGGGTGCTCAGAGGGGCCCCCCAGCCCCACCTTCCCCCTGCGCACCCCACAGCCAGCCAAGAGCAAACCCCAGCAGCAGGAGGAGGAGGAGGAGGAGGAGGAGGAGGGAGCTGTGCCAGGGACCCCCCCGCACAAGAAGGTGAGGGATGGGTGTGCCTGGGGGCAGGGGGTGGACAGAGCCTCCTCCTGACCCCCCCATTTCTCCCCACAGTTTCGCTCCCTGTTTTTTGGCTCGGTGATGACACCAGGAAGGCCTGGTCCGGCCACCACCCAGGAGGTGCTGGCGGAGGACAGCGATGGAGAAAGCTGAGCCCCCGAGTCACTGCCACCCCCAGCCTCCATCCAACCACCAGCACAGGCACCCCCCGGTGACCCATTACAAGTTTATTCCTCAAAAAATCCTCCTGCCCCCCCCTCCGCTGCCACCCCAGGGCTGGGCTCTGGGCTCCCCCCTCGCCCCAGCACTCCCTGCCCTGGGCCTGGATTTGCTTTGGTGGAGCGTGGCCGGGGGGGGGCAGGATCCTACAAATAAAAAAACGAGTCGAAAGAAAAGCGACCTGATGCTTGGGCGGGGGGCTGTGGGGCGTGGGCAGCACGGGGGCGGCTCCCAGCTCATTTCTTGGCTTTGGCAGAGTTTCGGGGAGGGGTGACGGGGCGCCCGGCGGGGTTCAGCCCGCTGAACTGCCCGTATTTGCCTTTGTTCTTGTCGGCCGGCTTCAAAATCTGCGGGACAAGGGGAGAGAAATCAGTGAGCTCCTGCCCCAGCTCTCCACTCTGCGGGAGGGCAGAACTCCCTGCAGCCCTCCCGGCAGGAACCAGGGGTGTTTCCCCTCCTGGGCTCACCTGGAAGGAGCACATGAGGGTCTCATCCACGCTCATCATGGCGCCGGCGTTGTCGAACTCGCCGCAGTAGTTGGGGGCCGAGAAGAGGGTGACGAGCTGGCGCTTGGCGAAGAACTCGTAGCCGTCCTCCACCACCTGGGGGGGACATGGAGTTGGTAAAAATCCACCTCCCATGGCCGGTATCCACCTGCCCCGGCTAATTCCCAGTGCCCCAGGCTGAATATCCAGCCCTCTGTACCAGGGTGAGCACTCCCTGCCCTGCAGCAAACAGCCACGGCTGGGACAAACACCCACTGCCCCAGGGCAGGTATCCATCATCCACAGTGATTATCCAACCTCTGGGAGGAACAGCCACATCCAGGGGTGACTATTCATTCCTCCTGGGCAAAAACTTCAGAGCAAATACCCAAATGCTGAGGTTAATCCCAAATCCCAGGGCAAACACCCCCAGAATTCCACCCCACACACTCCTGGGGTGCACACTGCCCTTGAAGGGGAAATACTCGGGGTAGAACCACCTGGCACCCACTGGAGACCCAACCCCACGTGTGCCCAGTGTCTGGGGACCCACTGGTACCTGGTGTGCCCGGCAGATGAGGTCCAGGTCGTGCTTGTGCAGGAATTTGGCCACCACCTCGGCGCCGAAGGTGAAGGAGACCCCACGGTCGTTCTCGCCCCAGCCCTGCACGTCCTTGTCGGGGTCGGACCAGAGCAGGTCACAGAGCAGCCCCTGATCCGGGACATCCGTGGGCCGCATGATCCGCCGGATCTGCTCCATCGACTGCAGGTCTGGGGACAGCCCTGCGGGAAAGGGACACCCCCAGAGCTCAGCAGGGACATCCCACCCCTCCTCCAGCCCGCCCAAATCCCTGGCAAGGGCCATTCCCACCTCCGTGGCAGCAGAAGATCTTCTCATCCACGATGGCGGCAATGGGCAAACAATTGAAGCAGTCGGTGAAGGTCTTCCAGAGCTTGATGTTGTATCTTCTCTTGCCTGCGGGGGACAAAGGGGGCTTGGAGGTGACCCTGGGGACAGCCTGGGGGTAGGCAGGACATGGAAGGGCAGGAGGACACAGAGGAAGGGCAGGAAGACATGGCGGGGAGGGAAGGAGTTCCCAGTATGGGAAAGCACTGGGATAACAGCGGGAAAGGGGGAGCCCAGGGATGGCAGCAGGGTTTGTGGGGCACAGCCCGGGCACTCACACTCGTCATAGAAGCCATAGATGCGGTTGATGCTGGCACACTCGTGGTTGCCCCGCAGCAGGAAGAAGTTCTCGGGGTACTTGATCTTGTAGGCGAGCAGCAGGCAGATGGTCTCCAAAGACTGCTTGCCCCGGTCCACGTAGTCCCCCAAAAACAGGTAATTGCTCTCAGGGGGGAAGCCCCCGTACTCAAAGAGCCTCAGGAGGTCGTAGTACTGCCCGTGGATGTCACCTGGGGGGGGACACAGGCTGTGAGTGTCACCCTGCAGCCCCCCACGGCACCCCAGCGCTGCCCAGCAGCCACGCAGGCCTCACCGCAGATCTTGAGGGGTGCCTCCAGCTCCAGCAGGATGGGCTGGCTCAGGAAGATCTCCCGGGATTTGAGGCACAGCCCGCGGATCTCGTTCTCCGTCAGCTGCACGTTCTTCCCCGGCCGCGACCCTTGGACTGCTCCCAGCGCAGAGAACAGGATCAGGGATCCCCAACAGCTCGGGGACCCCCAGAGCACCCCAGGAACCCCCGCTTTACCTGCCCCAGCCCTCCCTGCCCGTATCCTCCCCGCCCTCCAGGCCCAGCTGCGGCCCGCAGCCCCTTGGGGACAGCCCCGTCCCCTCCCGTTCCCCTCCGCGGTGCACACACCCCTTGAGGCCCCCATTTCCTGCAGCCCCGTCCCGCGGGGCACAGAGCCATTGGGGATCCCCCCTCACATCCCCCACGCCCTGCGGACTCATCTCCAGCTCCGCAGACCCCACGGGAACCCCCCCAAAACCCTTCCCGGCCCTGACCCCCCCCAAACCACCGCGGCCTAACCCGCCCCCGCCAGGCCTAGGCCGGGGACCGCCCCGCGGCGCCGGGACGCGGCCCGAGCCGGCCCCGGGAGGTTCCCCGAGCGGCGGGAGGGCGTCCCGGTGCTCGGGGGGCGGCGGGGGCCGCTCACCCTCCAGGAGGCGGCTGATGATGGAGTCGAGGTTGAGCTTCTCGGTGTCCGCCATGGCCGCCCGCGCGCCGCCCCGCCCCGCGCGCCCGCCCAGAGCGGCCCCAGTGCGCGTGGCGCCCCCTGCAGGCCCGGAGGACTCAGAGCAGCGCGGCTGTCCCCGTGTCCCGCTGTCCCCGTGTCCCGCTGTCCCCTCTACCACGCCGTCCCAGCCCCGGAAGGACAGCAGGGACCCACGGTGGTGTCACACAGGCAGGGTGACAGCCGTGGAGAGGGGACACGCTCCTCAGAGGGACATTCCGGGCAGGGGAACGTCCCGGGAAAGGTGACACCCCGGGCAAAGGGACATCCCGGGCAGAGGGACATGCCTGGGAAGGGGAACGTCCCGGGAAAGGGGATACTGCGGGCAGGGAGCCTTCCCTGGAAAGGAGAACGTGCTGGGCAGAGGGACTTCCCTGGAACGGAGGGCTTCCCGGGAAAGGGGACATCCCGGGAAAAGGGACATCCTGGGAAAAGGGACATCCCGGGAAAAGGGACATCCTGGGAAAAGGGACATCCCGGGAAAGGGGACATTCTGGGAAAAGGGACATCCCGGGAAAAGGGACATCTTGGGAAGGGAACATCTCTGGGGAAGAGAGCAGCCCGGGCAGGTGGACACGCCGGGCAAGGGGACACAGGGGACAGGGGTGCTGGAGAGGGAGAGGAACAGCTTCGGCACAGACAGGGATTCCCGGGACTGTGAGGGGACAGGAGACAACCGGCGATCCGCATCCCGGTCCTGGGAGCACGGGAAAACGGGAGGACACGAGGGAACAGGGTGCTTGGCAGAGCCCAGGGATGTCCCCACGCGGGGACTCTGGGGACACCGTCGGGAGCGGCACCGGGCCGTTGCCGGGAGATTGTTGCCACCCCGAGGTCCCTGATCACACCCCGCAGGGCGGGCTCCCACCGGGGACACGGGGGAGGGTGACACATTTGTGCCACCGCTCGTGGAGGGCGACAAGGCAGGGATGGTGTTATGTCTGTCCCCTGTCCCCACTGGCTGTGCCACGCCGTGCCATTCCCTGTGTCCCATTCCATGTCGTGCGGGGAGGTCGCGAATAGCTCCCGGGGCCTGCCCTGACATTTCTGCTCCGCGGTGTCAGTTTTACTCCCGTCCCCGGCTGACCCCGGGCTGGCCCCGTCCCTGCCCCCGGTCACTTGTCCCCTGCCCCCGTCCCTTGTCCCGCTCCCTACCCCAGTCCCTTGTCCCCGTCTCCCGGCGGTGGCACCTCGACCCCGCTGTCCCCTTGGTTCTGTCACCCCCTCCGGTGTCCCGGTCCCCCCGGTGGCCCCGGGCCCGCCCCGCCCCGCCCCGCCCCGCCCGAGCAGGACACGGCGCCGCCGCCACCGCCGGGACCGGAGCGGGCAGAGCCGCTGCGCTGGGGCTGCGACAGCACCGGGACCGACACCGGGAAACCCCGCAGAGCCCGAACCCGCCGCGACCGGAGCGGGGAGAGCCGCAACACCAGGAGAAACCGACGCCGACGGACACCGACAGACAGACACCGACCGACACCGACGGACACCGACAGACAGACACCGGCACCGGCGCCCCGGTGGGTGCTGGCGGCAGCTGGGGCGTGGGTGGGTTTGGGGGTGTCGGTGCCGGTACCGGGGGCACGGGAGCAGCGGGATGGGGGCGAGGCGTGTGTGCACACCTGTGGCACGGTGCAGGTGACAGCACGGGTGACAGGTGGGTGATGATGTCCGTGACACGGTGACAGGGTGCAGGTGGCACGGTGCAGGTTAGGGGGTCTGGGTGGCAGTGCGGGTGACAGGGTGCAGGTGACAGGTAGGTGATGTGCGTGACAAATGCAGGTGGGTGACAGATGCAGGTAGCAGATGCAGGTGACAGATGCAGGTGGCACGGCTCCGGTGACGGTGCGGTGTCGAGCTGTGGGTGACAGCGTGGGTGACAGGGTGTGAGTGACAGGTGCGGGTGACAAGACCCCGCTGATGGTGACGGTGTGTGGTGGGTGACAGGGTGCACGTGACGGTTCAGGTGACAATGCGAGGGTGACAGGGAGCGGGTGACAGCGCGTGCGGGACGCTGCGGCGCGGCAGCCGCGCTGGTGGCCCCGCGCCTGCCGGTGGCGGTGACGGTGACAGTGACAGTGTGACAGTGACGCCGCGGGCAGCTGGAACTAAGCCGGGGGACGTGCGTGCTGGCAGCTGCGCCGCGCTGGGGACAGGGGGACAGCAAGGGGGGAGGGCGAGGGGCGTGCCCGGGCAGGGGACCCGGGACAGGGGGACAGCAGAGCCCCGCCAGGCCGAGCCACCCCCCGGCTCCCGCTGAGGCAGCTCGCTGCTGACGGGGACAGGGACACCGACAGGGGTGCCAGCGCCTGGCGCGAGGTGGCAGAGGGGACAATGGGGCTCTGTGTCGCCTAATCCGGGGCACGGGGCCGGGGGTTGGCACCCCGGGGTGGCGCGGGGGGGGTTTAAAGGCCAGACCGGCCGGTGTCCCCTGTGCCAGGCGTCCCCGAGCCCTCGTCCCCTGCGCGCTCTCAGGCCACGGCTCCCATCCCAAGGTACCGGGCAACACCGCTGTCCCAACTTGGGGACAGCGCAGCACCTCCCAGCCGGGATGCAGGGGGACAGGGCGGGCCCGCGGCTGGGGCGGGCGCGGGCTTTGAGGGACCCCCGCGACCGGGTTTTGGGGGGTCCTCGTGCCACGCCACCGAGCCGTGTGTCCCCAACGCTGTCACCGGGTGTCGGGCTTGGGGACAGCCTGGCTGCCAGCGGGCACCGCTGCCTCAGTTTCCCTCTGTGCCCAGCTCTGCCGGGGTGGCACCTGCTGGGAGCGGGGACACCCGGGGGGGTGGGGACACCCCTGTCCCCGGGTCTGCACCCCCAGGGCACCTTGGCACCCCCGGGACCGGGAGGTGCCCCCGGCTGTGCTGAGCTGGCACGGGATTACACTAAGCCGGAGGTGCCACCGGGGCTGGCACCGAGGGGACAACCTGAGGCCACCGTGACTGGCACCAAGGGGTCAATCTGGGGCCACCAGACCTGCCAACGAGGGGACAAGCTGGGGCCACAGGGGCTGTCACCGAGGGGTCAGTCTGGGGACACTGGGACGAGCACTGAGGGGACAACATGAAGACACCGGAGCTGGCACCGAGGTGTGCCCAGGGAGCGTGCCAGGCTCTGGCGGGTGCCGCAGGACGGGTCCCCCCCCCGGGAGCTGGGTTGGGGCTCCAGCACGGCCGGGGGTGGCCGGGGAGGGCGGCACGTCCCCGGGGAGCCGCGCTGACTCTGCCTGTCCTTCTCTTGCAGCCCCTCTGCCACCAGGATGGTGAGTGGCCCCGGGTGCGGGTCCGGGCGGAGGTGGGTGCCCATCCCGGGTCCCGGCGGTGCCGGGCACTGGCGCGGGGCAGCGGGCAGCGCGGCGTGCTGTGCCCACCCGCCGCGTGACCCCGCCGGGACAAGGGGACGCTTTGTCCCGGAGCTGGCGGCCCCGGCGGCTGGCACTGCTGCCCCGCTGTCCCCGAGGCGGTGGCGCCGTGCCCGGCGCCCGCAGCCCCCCAGCGCCCCCACGGTGCCAACCCCCCGTGCCCACCCGGGCTCCGTCCCCGCGCCAGCTCCGTGCCGGACCCGTGACAGCCCCGTGCCAGCCCCCAACCCCACGCCAGCCCCAGAGCACCCCCTTACCGCCGTGCCAGCCCCGTGCCAGCCCCGTCCCTGCTCCCGCAGCTCTCGACGCCCCAGGCGAGCCCGGAGCGGGTGCCCAGCCCCGAGGAGCAGCAGTGGGCAGGGCCCGAGGCGCTGTGCCCGGGCTGGCTGGAGGACGAGGCCCCCGATGGCGAAGTGCCCGGGGACAGCGGGGACCCCGACGGTGCCACCCACGCCTACGAGCGGCTCCAGAGCGCCCTGAGCCAGGAGGGGCTGCCCCCCACGCTGGACTGCTCCGCGGAGCCCCGCACGGGTTGGGGACACGGGGGGCGCGGTGCCAGGCTGGAACACGGGGGTGGCAGGGATAAGGGTTATGGGCTCGGTGCCAGGCTGGGACACGGGGGTGGCAGGGACAGTGATGGGGGTGCAGTGCCAGGCTGGGGACACGGAGGTGGCAGGGACAGTGATGGGGGCATGGTGCCAGGCTGGCACACGGGGGTGACAGGGAGAGTGTTGTGGACTCAGTGCCAAGCTGGGGACACGGGGGTGGCAGGGACAATGATGGGGGCTCTGTGCCATGCTGGGGACACGGGGGTGGCAGGGATAAGGGTGGCAATGGGGATGCGGCGCCAGGCTAGGGACACAGGGGGTTTGGGGGCTCCCAGCCACACCGGGGTGCCACGGGCAGGGTGGCGCCAGGGTCCCCATCCCGGCGCTGTTAACCCTTCCCTTCCTGGCAGGATTTGGCCCGCTGGACATGACCGTTTGCATCCTGGGCTCGCCCATCCCCTTCCTGCCCGTCCTGCTGGAGGGTGGCACCCGCTGCCCAGGTGGGTGCCGTCCCCTTGTGCCCACACCCGCCTGTGCTGCCTGACCCGCACTGTGAGGGAAACTGAGGCAGGGGAGCAGGGCGGCAGCAGCCCCCGTGTCCCGTTAATCCCAGTACACACCAGTTCAGCAGCAAGTGTTCTTCCCTCCCCACGGGGGGCAGTTTGGCGTGCCCGCCAGCGTGCCCACCGCCGTGCCCACCCGCAGGTGCCATGGTGCTGTGCCTGTCCCCCTCCTGGGCCAGCCGGGTGCCATCGGAGTCGTGCCCGGGCGCCTGGTCCCTGCTGCTCTCCCGGGGCGTCTCCTTCAAGGTGGGGGGACACAGCGCGCTGGAGAGCTTCGTGCCGCCCCGCCGTGCCAACTACGTGACGGGCACCTTCGCGCCGGGGGACCCCGAGGGCGGCTGGGTGGGCGAGCTGGCCCGTGACCTGGACTGCCCCACGGGGGGCTCGGTGCCGCTCGCCCACCGCCTGGAGGACGCGCTGCTCGCCCGCTGGGTGCTGGCGGCTCACGCCAACCTGCCCGTGCCCCCCACGCTGGCCTTCGTGCTTGGCACCAGGGGGGACCTGCCCGCCCTGCCCGCGGCCCCCGCGGTGAGGCTGGTGCGGCTGCAGGACCCGCAGGGCCAGCAGAGCCTGGTGCAGGAGGAGGTGGGCGCCTTCCTGGGGGGCACCGCCATGGAGCCCTACGGCCAGGTGGGCACGGCAGCGCGGGCGGCGCTGGTGGCGCCGGGCGGCTCCGGGGGACAGCGAGGAGCGCGGGGTGCGGTGGCTGTGAGGGTGGCGACCAGGTGGCACTGGGGGGCATGGGGTGGCAGGGGTGGGTGCAGTGGGTGGGGTGGCACAGGGTGACAGGGGTGGGTGCAGGTGGCACAGGGTGACAGCGATGGGTGCAGGGGGTGGGGTGGCACAGGGTGACAGGTGTGGGTGCAGGGGGTGGGGTGGCACAGGGTGGCAGGGGTGGGTGCAGGTGGCACAGGGTGGCACGGGGGTGACACGGAGGTGCCCGCAGGTGGTGGTGCGGCCGGCGGGGTGGCGGTGGCGGGGGACAGGCGCCCGCAGCACCCACAGGAAGGAGGAGGGCGCGGCGGTGGCGCAGGCGGTGGGTGCCCGGCTCCGGGGGCTGACGGAGGAGGACAGCGTCCTGCTGGAGGCCATGGTGCCCACCGCCCGCCTGCCCGTGCCCCCCCCACGTAAGGCCCCCGCCCTCGGGCGCCCACCACCCTGGGAGGGGGGGGCAGAGACTCCCGGGGTCCCGCGGGTCCCTGCAGCGGTGCCGGCCACGTGTCTGTGCCCTGGGGCGGGCGGGTGGCGGCCATCGGGGTGCCCAAATTACTGGGGTCCTGGGGAGGGCACGAGGGTCACGCCCACGGTCCCCTGGGTTAGGGTTGGGGGACAATTTGCCACCTTGGACCCCCACAGACCCATGGGGAGAGGTGGGGAAGGTCACCCTGGACCTCCATTGTGCTCTGTGGTGGGAGGGAAAGCCACCCTGGACCCCCACGGTGCCCTGGGCTGGGCAGGGTGTTGGGGTGACCCCCTCTGACTCCCGACGGTCCCGTGGGGCTGGGGATGGCAGTGGCCGTGCTGCACCCCTCACTCCCTGGGGCTGGGCTGGGCCGGGGCCACCGCGGTGCCACAGGGAGCCCCAAAAGGCCCCGGAGGAGGAGGAGGAGGAGGGGGAGGTGGGGCAGGGCGGCCCTGTCCCCGCGTGGCGGCCGTGCCTGCCCTGTCCCTTGCCCCCCAGGCAGCCCAGCCCCGCGGCTGCCCATGGCCCTGCGCATCTGCACCCTCGTCTGCAGGTCCTGGGGGGACCGGCCCCAGCTCTGCCAGGTACGGCGTGTCCCCACACCCCGTGTGGTGGCACTGTGTGTCCCCAGCCTACGATGGCTGTCCCCGCGTCCTGGTGGCCCCGCATGTCCCCAGCTGTGGTGGGAGGCTGTGGTAATCTGTGTGCTATGCCCTGTGTGCCTGTGCGTGTCCCCGTGCCCTGGTGTGTCCCCAGGACTGGTGGCCACCCACACCCACGCCTTGGGTCAATGTGCCACCCCACGTCCCTATGCCCCGGTGGCAGCTGTGTCCCCAGGCTATGGGTTAGCGGCTAATGTCCCTGTACCCCGGTGGCAGTCGGTGTCCCCACACACACGCGGGTGTCCCCGTGTCCCCACGCACAGGTGGCCTGCGCCGTGGGACGCGCGGAGAGCCCGGTGCGCCACGGCGCGGCGCTGCCGCAGGGCCTGGACTCCGGCCTGCAGCAGTGCGGGGTGGCGGCCCCCGGGCAGCGACAGGCGCTGGCCACGCGGCTGCGGGAGGCCACCGAGGCCGCCGCGGCCGCCCTGCTGGCCAGCGAGGCCGAGCTGAGCCCGCGGCAGCGCGGCGGGGACCGGGCCCGCACCGACATCCTGGGTGAGCGGGGCGCGGGGGGAGCCGCCGGTGCCGCGGTCACCCCGCGGTGCTGAGCGCGCTGTCACCGTCCCCAGGCGTGGATTTCCTGCTGGCGTGCGTGGATGAGGCGCTGGAGCTGGTGGCGCTGGCCGCGAACGGGCAGCGGTGCCTGGAGACGTGCGCGCTGGCCGAGGCCATGGGGCGCGGCGTGGGCGAGCCCCGCGGGGACGCGCCGCGGCTGCTGGCCGAGGCCATGCTGCACCGGGCACAGCGACACCTGGTCGAGGGCAAGGACATCCTGCTCATCGGGGCCGGCGGCGTCAGCAAGAGCTTCGTGTGGGAGGCGGCCCGCGACTACGGGCTGAGGGTGAGGGGCTCGGGGTGCCGGGGGACGGCACAGCCCGGTGAGGGGCCGGCCGCGCCCCGGTGACGCCTCTCCGCGGCCGCAGATCCACCTGGTGGAGTCGGACCCGGAGCACTTCGCGGCGGGGCTGGTGCAGACCTTCCTGCCCTACGACAGCCGGGAGCACCGGCGCGACGAGGAGCACGCGGAGCGGGTGCTGGAGCTGCTGCGCTCCCGGGGGCTGCGGCCCCACGCCTGCCTCTCCTACTGGGACGACTGCGTGGTGCTGGCGGCGCTGGTGTGCCAGGGGCTGGGGCTGCGCGGCCCCGCGCCCGCCGCCGTGCGGGTGGCCAAGCAGAAGAGCCGCACGCACCGGCACCTGCAGCGCTGCCGCCGCGGCCGCCCGCCGCCCGCCGCCTTCGCCGTGCCCTGCCGCCGCCTGCGGAGCCACGGCGACGTGGAGCGGGCGGCGGGCGCCGTGCCCTTCCCCGCCGTGGCCAAGCTGGAGTTCGGCGCGGGCGGCGTGGGCGTGCGGCTGGTGGAGAACGCCGGGCAGTGCCACGCTCACGCCGCCCGCCTCTGGAGGGACCTGCGCGACGACGCCGACCACCCGGGCATCGGGCTGGGCTGGGGCAACGCCATGCTGCTCATGGAGTACGTGCCGGGCACCGAGCACGACGTGGACCTGGTGGTCTTCGAGGGGCGGCTGCTGGGCGCCTGGGTGTCGGACAACGGCCCCACGCGCGTTCCCGCCTTCCTGGAGACGGCGGCGTGCCTGCCCTCCTGCCTGCCCGCCGACCGGCAGGCGCAGCTGGTGCGGGCGGCGCTGCAGTGCTGCCGGGCCTGCGGGCTGCGCGACGGCGTCTTCAACGTGGAGCTCAAGCTGGGCCCGGCGGGGCCGCGCCTGCTGGAGATCAACCCCCGCATGGGGGGCTTCTACCTGCGCGACTGGATCCGCGAGGTCTACGGCCCCGACCTGCTGCTGGCCGCCGTGCTGGTGGCGCTGGGGGTGCCGCCCGTGCTGCCCGCCCGGCCCGCGGCCCGCACGCACCTGGCCGGGGTGATGTGCCTGGCCTCGGAGCACGGCGACGCCCTGGCGGGTGGCGGCGGCATGGAGGCTCTGCGGGAGCTGCACGGCCGCGGGTTCGTCCGCCTCAACCGGCTCTTCGAGGAGCCCGGGGGCGCCGGCGAGTACGAGGAGCCGCTGCTGAGCGTGGCGTGCGCCGGGGCCACGCTGGCCGAGGCCTGCGAGCGCCTGCTGGGGCTCTGCCAGGGGCTGGGCATCGACTCGCCGCGGTATCCCGTGGAGCATTTCTTGTCGCACTTCAAATAGCGCCGGGCAGGCAGCGGGGAGAGCGAGGGAATGCGTGCCCCGGCACACCCGGCACACCCGGCACCGCTCCCGCCGCCCCGCCGCCCCTCCCCGGCATCCCCCCGGCACCCCTGGCCTGGCACACCATGTCCTGGCAGCCCCGCACCGCCCTGGATCCCAGGCACCCCCATTGCCTGGCATTCCCATGTCCTGGTACTCCATCCCCTGGCATCCCCTCGCTCCCCTGGCAGCCCATTCCCTGGCACCCTGACATCCCATCCACTGGGATCCTCCCATTAACCTGGCACTCCATCCCCTGGCATCCCCCGACTCTCCTGGAACTCCATCCCCTGACATCCTGGCATCCCATCCACTGGGATCCTCCCAGTAACCTGGCACTCCATCCCCTGGCATCCTGAAACCCCATCTTCTGGCATTCCCCACTACCCTGACACCCCAATCCCCGGCATCCCCCACGTCCTGGCACCACATTCCCTGGCATCCCTGTCCATCCTGGCACTTCATCCTTCCATCACACTGACACCCCTCACCTGAACATTCCCCCTCTCCCAGTCCAGGCACCCCATCCCCTGGCATTCCTCCGTTACCCCAGCACCCCATCCCCCTGCCCTAGCACCCCATTCCCTGCTTCCCAACGTCCCTCCCTGTCCCTTCTGCCCTGTCCCTACAGTCTGTCCCTGAAGCTGGGGGTCTGTCCCATGCCTGGGGACACACAAGGGGGACACTGTCCCCTGCTGTCCCCGTGCCACCGCCAGGGTGGGGCAGCCAGGACCCCCGAGGCAGCCAGGCCACCCCATGAGAGCAGCAGGTGACATGTGAGGTGTTGGCACCTGCTGGCATGGGGACACCCCACAGGAACAAACCGTTATGGGGAGGGAGACCCCATAATGACAAAGAGTTATTGGGACATCCCATAATAACAAAGAAACGTGGGGAGACCCCACAGTAACAGACTGAGGTGGGGAGGCCCCACAATGACACCCGGGGAGGGAAAACCCCACAATAACAAACGGGGAGAACCCACAGTAACAAACCCGAGTTTAGGGGAGACCCTACAACAGCATACACTGAAAGGGGGACCCCACAATAACAAACTGGCTTCGGGAGACCCTACAGTGATAGACCTGCACCCGGGGATCCTACAACAACAGAGGGGCACCCAGGGACTCCCTGGAGCAGCTCAGAAATCCTCTGGGAAGACTTGTGTGATGTGATATAGGGCTGTCACTGGGGAGGCCCTACAGTAGCACCGGTGACCCCACACTAACACCCAGCCCCTATAATGCCCGAGATCCTACAACAACACCAGGCACCCCACACTAACACAGAGCCCTGAAGCGTCCTGACCCTACAATAACAGCAGAGACCCTGCAATAACACCCACATCCTACAGCCCTCGCGACCCTACAGTAACACCAGAGATCCTACAATAACACAGCGCCCCTGTAGCGCCTGAGAGCCTGCAATAACACACAGCACTGTAGTGCCTGAAACCCTCCAACAAACCCCAGTCCCTGCAGTGCCCCTGGCCCTACAATAACAGCAGAGACCCTACACCAACACCAGAGACGCTACACCAACACGCAGCCCCCGCAGCAGCAGCAGTGACCCCACACCCACCCCAGTGACCCCACAACCACCCCGGTGCCCCGCAGCCCCACTCGTGCCTTCAAACCCCAACCGGGGTCCCCACGTGGGGTCACCGGGGTGTCCCCCTCTCTTCCTGCCCCTCCTCTGACGTCACGGCGGCGCCGCTGACGTCAGCGCGGCGCAGGGGGCGTGGCGGGCCGGGGTCCCCAGTAAAGGCTGTGAGCGGCCGCGCTGTCTCTGTGCTGTTCCTGCGCTACCCCCGGGGACCCCCTGTCCCCGCGTCCCCCGCGCTGGGGACACCCCGGTGACGCGCAAGGGGCGTGGCCGCTGGAGGGGCGTGGCCGTGGGCGTGGCCAGCGCGCGGGTTCCCCGGGGTCCCGATAAGGCGGTGACACGGGGCGTGGCGGGGGCGTGGCCGCGCTGGGGGCGTGGCCATCGGGGCGGGTCCCCGGGGGTCCCGGCACGGCGCCGTCATGGCGGGGGTGTTCGACATCGACCTGGAGACCGAGGAGGGCAGCGACGGGGACGAGCCCGAGCTGGGCGCCGTGAGCCGGCAGCGGGGCGCGGGGGGCACCGGGGCTGCCGCCGGCACCGGGGCTGGGGCGGGGGGCGCCGCGGGGACGGGGGCACCGGCAGCGGGACGGGCGGTGGAGGCGGCGAGCGGCACCGGGGCGCGGTGGGGACGGCGGGAGCGGGGGGTCGGGGTGCGGGGGGTCAGCTCGGTGCCGGGAGCGGCGGGCAGGGGCTTGGGGGGACAGCGGCGGGGCAGTGACCGGGGTCCCGGCGGTGGCGGGACAGGGGGGCAGCCCGGGTGTCCGCGGGGACGGGGCGCCGGGGCACCGGGGGCAGCCGCGGATCCCGGGCGGGCAGCGGGCGGCTCCCGCTGGGCAGGGCCCGGCCTCGGCCCCAAAACATCCGGCTGGGCCGGCTCGGCGCTGCCTCGCCCCGCGCTGCCGCGTCCTGCCCGCGTCCTGCCGTGTCCTGCCGTGTCCTGCCCGTGCCGTGCCCGTGTCCTGCCTGCCATGTCCCCTCCTTGCCCTGTGTCCCCTCCCTGCCGTGGGTCCTCTCTGTGCCGTGTCCCCTCCTTGCCATATGTCCCCTCCCTGCCATGCGTCCCCTGCCCACCTCTGACCGCGAGTTCCCTCCCGCAGGAGATGGAGCTGGAGCCGCGGGGAAACGGCCTGGAGTAAGTGGGGACAGCCTGCGAGGGGTGTGCAGGCAGGGGACAGGCGGGGGACAGGCAGGGGACAGGCAGGAGACAGGCAGGGGGCTGTCCCCCTCACCCCCTTTCCCGCCAGGCCGGTGGGACACTATGAAGAGATCGAGATTTCCGAGAGCAGCGTCAACAACGGCCCCGAGCACATCGGCCCGCACTGCTTCGAGCTGCTCCGCGTCCTGGGCAAGGGTGGCTACGGCAAGGTGGGGACACGGCGGGGCTGGGGACACTCTGAGGGGGCTCCGGTGTCCCCCCGGCGGCGTCCCCAACCTTCCCCGCCCGTCCTTCCAGGTGTTCCAGGTGCGCAAAGTGCAGGGCACCAACACGGGCAAGATCTTCGCCATGAAGGTCCTGAAGAAGGTAGGGGCGCCCCGGCCCCCCCGGCCCCCCCGGGGACCCCCCCCGCTCACCGCCTCCCCCCCAGGCCAAGATCGCCTGCAACGCCAAGGACACGGCGCACACTCGGGCCGAGAGGAACATCCTGGAGGCCGTCAAGCACCCCTTCATCGTGGACCTCATCTACGCCTTCCAGACGGGCGGCAAGCTCTACCTCATCCTGGAGTGCCTCAGCGGTGCGGGCGGGACCGGGGCGGCCCGAGGGTTGCTCCAGGGATGGCTGCAAATTGTCCCAGGGGGAGCTCAAGGGCTTCCAGGAATGGCTCAAGGCGTCCAGCGATGGTTAAAGCCTGACCTGGGGGCCTACAGCGTCCAAGGAGGGTGTGCAGGGATGGTTAGAATGTGACCTGGTGTGGTTACAGTGTCTAGGAATGGCTCAGGGGGTCCAGGGATGGTTAAAGTGTGACTTGAGGTGGCTACAGTGTCCAGGGAGGGTGTCCAGGAATGTCTCAGGGTGTCCAGGGATAGTTAAAGTTTGGCCTGGGGTGGCTATTAGTGTCCAGGGAGAGTGTTCAGGGGTGGTTAAAGCAGGACCTAGGGTGGCTATAGTGTCCAGGGAAGGGGTCCAGGGGTGGCTCAGGGTGTTCAGGGATGGTTAAAGCGTGACCTGGGGTGGCTACAGTGTCCAGGGATGGCTCAGGGTCTCCAGGGATGGTTAGAGTGTGACCTGGTATGGCTACAGTGTCCAGGAAGGGTGTCCAGGGTGTCCAGGGATGGTTAAAGTGTGACTTGGGGTGGCTGCAGTGTCCAGGGAGGGTGTCCAAGGTTGGCTTAGGGGGTGCAGGGATGGTTGAGGCATGACCTGAGGTGACTACAATGTCCAGAGATGGTGTCCAGGGGTGGTTCAGCGTGTCCAGGGATGGTTAAGGCATGAACTGGGGTGGCTACATTGTCCAGGGATGGCTCAAGGGGTGCAGGGATGGTTAAGACATGACGTGGGGTGGCTACAGTGTCCAGGGATGGCTCAGGGTCTCCAGGGATGGTTAGAGTGTGACCTGGTATGGCTACAGTGTCCAGGGAGGGTGTCCAGGATGTCCAGGGATGGTTAAAGTGTGACCTGGGGTGGCTGCAGTGTCCAGGGAGGGTGTCCAGGGGTGGCTCATGGTGTCCAGGGGTGGTTAGAGTGTGACCTGGTGTGGCTACAGTGTCCAGGGGTGGTTTAAGGATGTCCAAGGTTGGCTCAGGGGGTTCTGGGGTAGTTTAAAGGTGTCCAAGGATTACTCAGATGTTCCCAGGGGTGATTAAGGAGTGTCCAGGGATGGCTCAGGGTGTCCAGGGGTGGTTTAAGGGTGTCCCAGGATGTCTCAGATGTTCCCAGGGGTGGTTAAGAAGTGTCCAGGGACGGCTCACGGGGTCCCTCTTGGGCTCTTTGTGCAGGTGGAGAGCTCTTCATGCAGCTGGAGCGGGAAGGGATCTTCCTGGAGGACACTGCCTGGTAGGGATGAGGTGGTGGTGGGGGGTGTGGACGGGGTTGGCACCCCGACATGGCTCACAGGCACCCCAATGCCACCGCAGCTTCTACCTGAGCGAGATCACGCTGGCCCTGGGTCACCTGCATTCCCATGGGATCATCTACCGGGACCTTAAGCCAGAGAACATCATGCTCAACAGCCAAGGTGGGCTTGGGGGGCAAACTGGGGAGCCTGGGGGATTCTCTGGGGGCACTGCTGACCCCCCCACGTCCCTCAGGTCACATCAAGCTGACGGACTTCGGGCTGTGCAAGGAGTCCATCCACGACGGGGCCGTCACCCACACCTTCTGCGGAACCATCGAGTACATGTGAGGTGGATGCAGCACTGGGGGAGAATTTGGGGGGGTCTGTGCTGGCCCCCCATCCGCTCAGGGCCCCCCTGTACCCCCAGGGCCCCCGAGATCCTGGTGCGGAGCGGGCACAACCGGGCAGTGGACTGGTGGAGCCTGGGCGCCCTGATGTACGACATGCTCACCGGATCGGCAAGTGCCACC